TAACTGTGAAGGGACTGAGCTCCAACGAGATAGTACATAATTCTGTGCCTCCCACACTCCAACCCCCCCCTCCCCACCCAACTCCGTTATGAATTTATTATGAATTTATAGTCCTAAACAAAAAAATATAATCGGCCACATTCGTTCTTGTGCGAACACGCCATCACAGGTGTAAAAAGATCTATATACTAGCGAAATTGAAAGTACGGAGAAATCGATGAACCTGTCAACATGCTCATTCAAAAATTCTCAGATCCTATAGGCAAAATCAAACGGTTCTAAATGTTTGAAGTAACCTTTTTAGCGAACAAGGCGATAGGGATATGACCTTAGTTCAGTAAGCCGAACGAGTAAACACTGGCAGAAATTTAACATGAAAATACTATGAAATACAGTGAAATCGATACCCATGGCAACATGTGGTATTTTAATATTACAGAGCGTAACACCATTCCAGTTCTCCAACAGATGACAAGATTTTCATTGTTGGCAGATAACCAGATTAGGAATGAAATAATTATAAAAATATATATCCTTGTATGTACTAGTATTACGAAATACCTGACGATGTTTCCTACAAACAAGCCACGTATTGTAACTGTTTACACATATGCATAACTTCAGATGTTACTTTGTACATCTTATCTCAGTACTATAGACGACTGGAAACGATTTAAAAGTTACCATACTCACCCACAAACAGTGAAGCCAAAACTAGTATCTCCTTCAAACCCGCCATTTTCTATGTCCACCAGGAAGTTGAAATTCTTCGAATAAATACTCTTCACCTGGGTGTAATGTATATTTAGAAACAGTTTTGCTTGACTGGGTTTTGTGGTAGTTGTGAGTAAAGATATTGTCGTTCAAGTTTGACACCATGACTGTATATGTGTGATCGCCTTATATTCCGAAGGGTCAATATTCCGAAGGCCTGATACTGCATGCGCAATATCAGTGAAATAACACCTCATAATTTGAAGTAAATTATCCCCAAATTTTAATCAAGTAAGTTTGAAAATATACAATACAATGCATCAAATGAATTGATATCTCATTAGTTATATTAAATTTGCCTTCACATATAAATATGTACCTTCACTGGATCATAAATAATATCAATTCTATATATTTATTCGTTTGTTTGTCAAGATTATCCCCCCGTGAACAGCCAGGGTCACTATGAGGTTGGGTCTCCTCGTGATAACAACATACGGGAGTCCCGTCGCACGCCGCCCCCGAGCAATAAAGATGAAGCATTTTACCAGGTACAAGTGTTACTTTAGACTGCAAACTCGTGTATTACACACATCTCCAAAAGAATAGGAACTGGCAACTCATAAAGATCACGTTCAACTGTAGATTTAGACCTGCTCCAGGACGACTGTTCTCTGACCATCCGAGTAAACTGTTCCCGAGATTCGAATGAATTTGACAACATGAAATAAGGAATAGCATATTTTACATTACTTCTTCCATTGCAATTATTGTACTTACCTAATTTGGGTTGCAGCATTGATTATTTTTAAAAATTACATAGGGTTAGATACGTGAATGATATTTTCCCTTAAATTTCCTTCTATCTGATAGTGGATCCAAATTGCGAGTCTTGTGATCAAGATTGCTTACTTGAAAAGAAGGGAATCCGGTAATAAGTCTGACTGTTTCAAGATTACATTCTCCTACTTTGTTAACAAAAGATCAACCATACGAAAATTAACACGCATATTCTCACGCAGGCAATGCAAACACGTGTACTCGTACATTTAAAGACATGTTTCTAAAAATCCTTTAAGCGTATTGTAGATATTGAACAGAGATAGTCACCTCCCAGCGGGATTATATAAGGTATCTATTGTTACCACTATAAAAAACCGATGTGTTATGTTACGTTATGCAACATCTTCTAAAATGTATGATCTGTAACTAAGCACGTGTCTTCATAGCAAAAATTCTCCACCAGGAATAGTAAAATAAAACACGAAATATCACAAGAAAAATCACTTTTATCAAATAACAGACACACTATGTAATATCAAATTGTTAAGTTTAGAAGACTATTTTGTCACTTCACTATCTTTTGCGAAATATTAAAATAGATATTTCCAAATTTCGGAATAACGACCACATGAATAACTTACCGTCAGAGAAGTATGACTTCGGAATACTTGTAACAGATCCTTCAGTATTTAAGGATGGCATATAACAGTTACGAGTATAAATGGACGGGACATTTTTGTTTCATATTGTTTCAGAATATTGAAAATAGACGTTGTACGTTATATTTTATGAAATAGGAATTGAAAAGTCAGCATTTTTTTCTGTTCTATCTTCAGAGTACAGAAAAATTAATCGGGCGATTCTCTCCTTGCTCTTGTTAAACCTAAGATGGCCTCTCGTCAGCCATTCTGTTTTCCTAATCCATCCCAAAATCGAATTGACACAACTAGGGACCAGGGGGAACCTAAAGATCCATCTAGTAATAATTTTATTTTTCACGAAATAACAGTAGTCCTCAAATGATGTCATTACCAGACTCCAAGATGGCTGCCTGTCAGCCACTTTCTTATTAGTCCCAAAATCAAAAGGGCACAAATATGGACCAAAAGGAACATGTATTGTGAAATCTGAGAAAAGTCTATGAGATAGTTCTCAAGAAATGCCATTACCAAAATTCAAGATGGCCGCATGTCAGCCATTTGTTTATCAGTCCCAAAATCAAGGACCAAGAGGAGCCTTCATGTGAAATCTGAGAACGACCAAAGTACACATATGAATGAAGTGCTATGAAGAAATAGTTATAAGAATGTGTTATGGAGGGACAACAGACTCAGAACGTGGGACAGCTTGAATAGCCCATTATTTGATGATAGCGAGTTAACAACTCATACAACATCACCATTGCTAGTCCTAAAGGACAAGAATTGATATCAGTTTTCCGCTTATTTTCCTTTTCCAAATGGAATGCGTTCCTATATAATTTTTATTTTCTTTAAGCTTGTCGAGGGGCTGAAAAGGGCAGCAGAATAGAAGACAAAGACTATGAATGAGTTAGTTTGTTGAGTGTAATTGTTTAAATATTGTGTAAACTGACAGGTTCTTACTATCTATCTATTTCACAGACGAGGGACCGACCGCAATGAAAACAAAACATGAAATCGTGGATAGCTTGGGAGTACCCTTGGGCGACACCAAAGCTTATTTCTTCCCTGATGGTATAGTGGAGAGTGATCCTTTTCTATAGTTTGTCGTTGGTTCTCCTCGGATATCTACCATGCTAAAATGAGACGCAAATACTCCGATAAGAGCTACGTATAACCGATATGGGAACAGTTTTAAAGTCTTACAAACATTTGTTCTTTACTTGCAGAGTACTTTGTTAATTGAAGCTAGATATGTCGTGAAGTAACCAATGGTGTAAGGGCATTTATATTTCTTAAAATGAACTTATTGAACTATCACGAAGTTTTAGACACAGATGTTTGTCCCAAACGCCGCGTCCTTACAACATGCTTAGAGAGAGAAAAAATCAGTGTCTTAGAATATAAGTCAACATTCAAAATTCAACAGTTTATTGTTCAATATTTGGTCTTAACTTCAATAGATATAACAGCACTTATATGATTTTTTGTGAATTAACTTATGTGAATAGTAACATACAGCTGTTTTCAGTCACTGCCAAATGGTTCAAGACTTCCCCTTTTGGAACACTCCTCCTCCCCCCAATCCGCCCACATATTAAGCCCCCACCCCCACCCACCTACATCTTAAGCCCCCACCATTGCCATCACCAGTAACTGCATGTGATCATTTAGTGAAAATATCTCCATCCCAACAGGATTTCCTCCATGTTTTTCCCATATTCAGCTATGTTCCTCTGAACCCAAGTAGTCCAACCTATGGCTTATACAAAAATGAGCATTCACCACCCAAATTTGGACAAAATGAAGTCATTCCAACAGAAGAAGGATCATAAAGAATTTTCTGTATTTCTCACTTTGGGTTGGGACCATGGGTCTGAGATTCACCATTTTACATGTACAAAACTGGTTATCCTTTAGATTCACCATTTTACATGTACAAAACTGGTTATCCTTTATCTGATAATGGTTCTGATCAAACAGGACAAAATATACCTTCATCCAAACACAAGGATTTTCAATCCATTCTTCAAATTCTTCAGGTCTCAGGAGGCCAAGACCCACCTTTATGCTATTTTTTTTTCTTCACTCTAGGTTGCTTCAGACCAAATTTGAACAAAATCTGATCATTCCTACAGAATAGGACATTTTTAAAAATAATTTTCTATATTTCCTTAATTGCCCTTACCTCTAAGATACTAATGAATGAATTTGGTGGAGATCCCCTCTGTCATTTATGAAAAGTAAACACAGTTTAAAAAAAAAAAACGACCTTGTGATCTGGCATTGGAGAAATTTCCTCAGAACCCTCCGGTAAAAGCCTGATAGGCACATCATCTGGAAAATTGAGGAGATTCTGAAAGTTTCTGAGGAAACTTCCACATGATAATTGATGCAAATACAACATTAAAACATACTTAAGCTGTGTGGCATCTATTAAGAAACACTGTGGGGATATTGAGACAAATAAATGAATGAAAGTTGGATCAACTGAAAATACAAACCAGTGTTTTACAAAGTTCATAAAAAAACGTGTTAACAATCCATATCAAAGAATGCAGGTTTCTTTTAATATGTGACTGAAGGATTTTCTGACGTCAGTTAACTTATAATGTCCTGAGTATTTCTCAATTAAGTTCATTATTTTCTTTATCAATATAAAAGGGTTATCTTTTAGTTGAAGTGTTGTATGTTAGTGAAAGTTGTGTATATTGGAACTTTTAATATCAAGATTCTAGCCATTTTTTAAAGTAAGAAGTAATTTGAGTGTTTTTAAGAAATTTCACTCCTGTAACACCAACACCCTCTCCCTGCTTTCCTAATCTCATGATGTTAGAAAGTCAGAAAATAACAAAAATTAAACAATTTAATATTTATTTAATTAAATTATGATGATATACACCATCAACATGCATATGACACTTCTCGAGCAGCTATCATATGTGAGTTGACAGGAACAGGGTTATTCAAAAGGAAAATTACATCTCCTATGTAACCATTACTGGCAAGCACAAAAGCAAGAGGCCAGATTGGCCTGTATTTCTCAAAAGGTTTGCAGTTATTAGAACAGATCAATCTAGCAGCTTTTATTCGATCTTGAAAGTGGATGATCATAACTCAATATTTAGACTCTAGAATATACAGTTATTAAGAAGAAGTCTTTCAGAAAAATAAATTTCAACAACAACATCGACAAACAATTTAAAATAATAAAATATATGTATCCATACATGAATTGTGAAGTGAAAATCACTTATGATTATGTACATTCAGTCTAGGTACTTTGGGATTGGTCTCACTTTCTGTAACAAAAGGACTTTTATTTTGGAAAATGAAATCATCAATTTTTATTTCTTTCCTCAAAAGGAGTTAAACATCGAACTATTCAAAAGACAAATCCAGATGTAGCTAAATTGTTAAAAAAAATTGAAAGAGAGGAAATCAAAAATATCTTCTTGCCTCCTTCCAAATATGGAAACTTTCAGTTTGCAGATACATGCAAAGTGCATCATTTTCATTCTAGGATAAAGTGAAAATATAAAACAGATTCAAAGCAACAAAGGCTTAATGCACTGGGATAATAACTGTGATAAATTTACTGTCATATGTATAAAGATAGATCTAAACCATTTATCAAAAATCATAGATGACAAAAGAGGAATTATGATTCATCAAATATGATAAACAATGGGTAAGTCAATGTTTTTCACTTCGTTGGCAAATCTGCAGAAATGACTCGTAGTGTTGTGTGATACACAAAAGTTTTCCCTGCCAAGTCAGAGTAATTGAGTATTTTTTTATTAGCAGGTTCAATTTCAACACAAACCGATTCATCTTTGTTTTGTGCGTTGTGATCACCATTCAGATTTTTGTTTGGAGCCAGGTCTGTGTCAAATGTCTCATCGTTATCAGAGACGTTATACATGTACATACATTCATGACCATTTTGATCGTCCTCAGTTTCACATTCATTTTCCTCATTAGTATTTTCACTATCATCTTCCTTATCATCACACTCATTTTTCTCATCCTCTTCCTCTTCACTGTCATTTTCCATCAAATCTTTCAACAGAAGACTATTTTGAAACTGAAGGATATCTTTCAAATTCTTCACAACAAAGTATTTGCTTGTTGTGTTTGAGATCCATGGGAGATGACTTCCAACTTCAGTAAGAATTTTGACTAGTTCCTTCAAGCGTGTCCTCCACATTGGAGTGAAAATGAACTTGTGCTGCCTTGCAAAATCTTTTATCCTACAAGTTCTATATTCCATCAAATTCATGGAACCCCAGGCAAGATAAGCTGCTAACCCAATGGTAACATCTCTGTGAGGGCTACATGAAGTTCGTTTTCGTTCATATAATTTCAAAATATCTTTCACCATTTCTAGACATTCTCTGTTAAATATGGAATCAGATAGGTGATATGTAATAAGTGATGCTATACTCTGATACTGTATTTCAATAACTAATTTACTAATTATTTTTTGATAAAGTCTGGCTATATCTGAAACAGACTGTCTAGTAATTGCACAGAATTCTTTGATTGTGATTGGAAAATTGAACTGACGCCCTGTGATGTAAACACAGCAATGACTCAGTAAGTTTTTTTTGTAGGAAACCATACGTTGAAATTCTGGACATTGCAATGCTCTTACAAACAAGGCATCTGCTGCTCCACTCATTTCAGAACTAAAGGCTAACTTTGCACATAGACTTCGCACTTTGGCTTTACATCTTTTTACAATAGGTTGTTCACGTTTTGCCTTTAGTTGTCTTGCATGTGATGGAATCTCACTGTGTAGGAAATCAGGGTTCTGATAGCCAATGCTGCCCTCTGATACAAATTTCTGCTCTGAATGGACAATTCCACAATTCATACAGACAGCACCATCTTCTTCCTGTATTACTGAATTCTCCCCACATATTAAACACTTGCGACCAGGCATAGTTCTGAAATGGATAAAAATGTAAATGATTATCAAATATCAGTGATGATGTTATTTCCGGTTTACATATAAATATGGATGCAGTCAGTCACAACTCAGGGGTTAATCTTGATCTATTTACTAATGAAATTTGGATGTACATGTACTGCATTCCCCTGGTGGTATATTATGTATATCCCAGGGAGTATTTTCCTATGGACATGTAAAATGATGTATATCCCAAGAAATGTTGTTGTTGTTGTTATAAAAATCTTTTATAATCAGATATATGAACATAACTTAATCACAATAAGTATGTATCCTATTCACGCCAATGTTTATTCAAACCAAAATTTACTTATTTTCTAAATGGGTTATCGTAATGTTCTCTCTCTCTCTCAAAATGGACACCCATAAGCTCCCCTTTTCTCATAAGAGTATTACTTATATTCTTAAATAACTCATACAACTGAAGAAACTGAGAAAGGTGATTGCGAGTTAAATCTCGGATCATTATCTAAGTTGTAAATTTCATACTCCATTTATCAGTTCGTACCGACAAACTTTTGTTACGGTACATTCGTTTACTGAATAGTCCATCGAACAATTTCATAGAAGAAAGCAATTCTACAAACGTTGGAATTTAAATTCCAATAATGAAATTGGTAAAAATGTTTACCTTCTATCGGTAGCCGCTTAAACAGACTTAGCACCATGAAAAGCACAAACGTTCTGCTTTCGTTTTGCGGATGACTGTATCGGTTGACGTAGTCTGTGTATAAGGATAATGAGATTGCGACCTAACTATTTAGGTTTACAAACAGATCAGTATCATTTTAACGCTTGGTACATATGCATATGGACTAAGACCACAATTAATTTCACTATATGTTTCATCGTAACATTAAAATTCATAACTAAGACCCAAAGTTTCATCTGCAAATTTCCATTTCACCTGGCCAAGATCAACATCTGAAAAGCAAAATGTAAAAGTTTCAACCCACCATGTTGGGCATTTTCTGGAGATATACCTCCATGTGTGTCACCAACGTCAATTATATACATCCGGGTCAGGGGTAAAGGTGAAAACAGGACTTTTTACACCGGGTCCTGCAGCACAAAATACATGTTCAATATGAATGATTTACACACTGACAGTTAGATTATCATCTCTATAACACATCTACATCAAATTTATAGGCAAAAATCCAATTCAAAGAGGCATATTATTTTTTTCCCTAACATACATACATTTTTTAGGGACTTCATTCGTGGGTACTGAACCCGGAAGTATTTAATTGTGGTCTTAGTCCATATTGGAATAAAGCAGTCTGAAGCACGCGGATTGCTTAGTAATTATTACAGCCAACGTAATTGAAACGACATGTGATAGGTGAACAAAAGTGGGGGTCATTTTGGGAGGTCCCATTTGCATTTTATCCCGAGCCAAGTTTTCGTCATTTTTCCAAAATAAACCTGTTTAATACACCAAACAAAATCGTTTATTTCATCAGTTTTTCATATCTTAAATGTACGTTATTTATTAAGTCACTCTGGCGAATTAATGTACAATCGCTAAAGCACAAGAACATGGTAGACAAAAGAAGCCCGAATTATAGGATTATGGTGCAGCACGGAGTTAGATATAGATTCTAAATCCGTGTAGTTATATATACAGACGACACCATAACTATTAGCTTTGGCTTATTTCTTGCTATTTTTTTTACCCACAGATGTCTTAACTTCATGCTAAACAGATTAAAAGTAGACAATTTCTCCTTAACTGGTATTTTGGGGTAGACATTCAATCAACACTATCTTCAGGAATGCTAGGGATGTACATGTCTATTGTTGTCACGCAGTTTAATATCTGTAAGTCAGTGTTATTATGTAGTACGTCACTGATATTACAGAATATATGTATGCATCAAGTATAGCATTCATGAATATAATCTTCTTCACTGACGAAAATATCTAAAAACATATGTAATAGTTACACAAGTTGATTTGTATCTTGCTTTTATAGTAAATTATTTCAAATGTTTGTAATGGTACGTGCTAAACCAGAGTTGTCTCCCTTGGACCAATCTGGACCAATCTAGACCGATCTAACTGATACCGTAGGTTAACAAGAAGCATAAGGGCTTTAATGGTCATCCAAGTTCTATAAAATCTGTCGTTTTTTCTGTAACACATTCCATGGAAATCGTTTTGTTAAAAATAGGATAAATAACTTTAACTACATTGTTCATGTAATATAAATATACATTGTGCATACATCTCACTGCCATCCAATGCTATAGATAATCGTATCCATTTGAAATTAAACAAAGTATGTAAAGTTTATATAATTTGTGACCTTATTTGGAACCGACCAACAGAAACTGCGGGTCAGATCCATGGTGAGTATATACGTATCGTCAAACTGTCATCCTTTACTAATAATTCTAAGTAGTTTGAATTATTTCCAATGGGAATGAAACAAAAAAATATTTTACTAAATTAACTAAAGTAATCTTTATCCACTCTCAAGGGAGAAATGTGAGATCAATATGCAGTTTTTTCCTACAGGATACCATGGGTTACATCCCCTTAGCGCTTATAGCGTCACAGACAAGAGAGCCAACAGGTAGGATGGGGCCAGTCACAGAGGAGTGATTTTATCCAGCTTAGTAGATATCCTTTTACTCGGAGAGTCATAGTTTTATTGGTTTGTGACGTAGTCTACATTACACATGTAGCCGGGTTCCAATGCTACAGTGTTTTATAAAACAACGCTGGATTAATTCCTTTCATACATTTATTTAGACGCACCAAAAGACCCTACAATAACACAAATAAAACATAAAAGTTCATGTATAAGACATATTACAAACTACGCACTGTACGTTATACACTGGACATGGAGTCAACTTTACTTTTTACACATATTTATATTTCCCGTAACGGTTACACTAAACTTTACGAATTCATCAAAATATATATATCCAATGCCAACACATGATACACTATAGGATTTACCATTTGTATTACACAGATGTATTTAATAGTTAAATAATATATATACATAATATACCTACACTATCAATATGACAGGGGTCTCAAATGATAACATCTTTTTTACAATAAAATGATCTATGGTTCTGTTGAAAGAAAAACAACAAAACGTAATTAACTATATTTGTAATAAATTTCTTTAAGATAATTCTGCAAAAATATTAATCCCATTACAAAAGGAATAATGAAAAACCACAAAGAGATATTTCAATTTCTTCAAATATTTCAATAAATACGAAAATACTAATTCTGTAAAAGTTAACTAACATTATCCTTTAAAATAATTAAAGGATATTTCAAATACTTACTATTTTAAAATGTATATTTGCCACCACACAGAGAGAGAGAGAGAGAGAGAGAGAGAGAGAGAGAGAGAGAGAGAGAGAGAGAGTGAGAGGGAGAGAGAGAGAGAGAGAGAGAGAGAGAGAGAGAGAGAGAGAGAGAGCTTCATCTCTTTGAATAATAATAATGATAACAAAATAGTTGAAATGATTTGCATACACACATACACACATACACACACTAACATCACTAGATCTATATACATGTATGTGGCTAATTGCATACAGTACAGTCAGCACAGTGATACACTGTACGCTATTCATTTCCCTCAGCTGTTCAAATGTTCAAACATACAGCTGCACGAACAAGCATGTAATCACGTGACAAGACATTTACATAACAAAACACAGGTGAGAAATTCTTAGAACATACACTGACAAAACCGGTTGGACAAGTACATTTATAAAAATATATATAAATAGATAAAAGTAAAATTGACACTGCCACACACACTTAACATGTCGAACTTATTTCGAATTTGTATCCGTTATAACATCACTATCCAAAAAAAGAAAAAAAAAACAAGAGGCCCATGGGCCTTAACGGTCATCTGACAAAAAGCAAGCCAAACCTAGAAAGTGGGTTGAGGTCATTCATTTGAACAAACTTGGTAGCCTCTCCTCCAAGCATCTTACAGGCCCAATATCAGCACTCATGGACTTTTGCTTGTTGAGAAGAAGTCGTTTGTATATTTTAACATATTTGACCCCTGTGACCTTGAAAGTGGGTTGAGGTCATTCATTTGAATAAACTTGGTAGCCTTTCCTCCCAGCATGCTACAGACCCAATATCGGCACTCATAGACTTTTGCTTATTGAGATGAAGTCCTTTGTATATTTTAACATATTTGACCCCTGTGACCTTGAAAGTGGGCCAAGGTCATTCATTTGAACAAACTTTGTAGGGCTCCATGCCAGCATGCTATGGGCCAAGTATTAGCCCCCTAGGCCTTCTAGTATTTGAGAAGTTATTTAAAGATTTTGACATATTTGACCCCTGCGACCTTGAAAGTTGTTCAAATTCATTCATTTAAATAAACTTGGTAACCTTTCCTCCCAGCATGCTACAGACCCAATATCGGCACTCATAGACTTTTGCTTATTGAGATGAAGTCCTTTGTATATTTTAACATATTTGACCCCTGTGACCTTGAAAGTGGGCCAAGGTCATTCATTTGAACAAACTTTGTAGGGCTCCATGCCAGCATGCTATGGGCCAAGTATTAGTCCCCTAGGCCTTCTAGTATTTGAGAAGTTATTTAAAGATTTTGACATATTTGACCCCTGTGACCTTGAAAGTTGTTCAAGGTCATTCATTTAAACAACTTGATAGCCCTTCATCCCAGCATGCCACAGGCACAATATCAGCAATCTGAGCCTTTTGGTTATTGAGAAGAAGTTGTTTAAAGATTTTAACATATTTGACCCCTGTGACCTTTAAAGTGGGTCAAGGTCATTCATTTGAACAAACTTGGTAGTCCTTCATCCCAGCATGTCACAGGCCCAATATCTACACTCTGAGCCTTTTGGTTAATGAGAAGAAGTTGTTTAAAGATTTTAACATATTTGACCCCTGTGACCTTTAAAGTGGGTCAAGGTCATTCATTTGAACAAACTTGGTAGAGCTCCATGCCAGTATCCTCTGTGCCAAGTATTAGCCCCCTAGACCTTCTAGTATTTGAGAAGAAGTCGTTTGAATGAAAAGTTTACGGACGGCGCACGGCGGACGACGACGGACGAAGCATGATGACTATAGGTCATCGGACCCTTCGGGTCCAGATGACCTAAAAAAAATCCAGAAACACCTTCAATGATTGTTTTAAAATCAGTGTGTTACAATTCTGTCCAACAGTATCTATTGAATAAAAACATTAATTAAATGAGTGCATATGGTCAGTTATTTCGAAGGACGCGCCAGTACACCCCAACTGAGGACACTTCTGGTGTACTGGACAGGCGTGAACTAAAGCCATCTCTTTCATGGGCTAATTCCTCATTGTCTGACTCTAAGTACTATTTGATTTCACACATTACTATAGTCAATATACGAAAAAATACCTGTACAGCAATGTGACTAGAAAAATTTCCGTGTACTGAAATAATGTGCCATTTTTACCTACAAAGGACACAGCTAGTTTATAATTAATGTTTGTCTATAAGTTATATCGATGTGTTGGAAATACTATACTTGATATACAGAGGCATCCATATGGAGATTTTCTTTTTTGTAATATTGCTTTATTTCATCTAAATATTATAAGAAATATATTTGTAAAGAAGAAATGTTAAAGTTACTGATCAGAGGCATACATTTGGGAATATTTTTCTAAAATGTCGCTATGTAATATTTAGTACCAAAAATCGTCCACCTGGAGCCATAAATCAGCCAAGCATGATTAATCATTGCCTCCAGGATATTGAGAAGATTGAAAGATTGCCAGACGGACGAATTACCAAGGCATTATTCAAAGGTTAAGGTAACAGTAGTTTGCTATTAATTGTGCTCTTTTGTCTGCAACATTCTGAAAAGACCTCTGAACAATTTAACTAAAGTCAGATATTTCATTTGGTTTTATATACCTCGTTGCATATAAGAGGTACAAAGTGAAATGAAATATGATTTTAAGTCCCAATAGACTGATCGCTGGTCACTACAAGTTTTAGTGTTCCTTACGATGGGTTTAAGGTGTCACTTAAGTATTCATGATATACGCAAAGGGTCACGATAGCTTTATATGGAAAACACATACTAAATCAATTATAATGTATGCAAATCAGGCTCGAGGTCAGACGTCAAAGGTCAAATTATTACAGTTGAACAGCAAAAAAAAAAAAAAAAAAACAAAAAACAAAACAAAAAAACCCGACAGATCTTAAAAGAGACACAAATGTTGGTTGTAATAAGATACATATTTGTAGGTATAAGTTACCTTTGAAGGTCACACTTCATAATGACTGTTCAATGTTTATGTACAACTATTCAACTGTTTAACCATTCTGTCAAACACTTATTGACCTCCTCAATAGAATTCAAAGAAGCTTTCGAAACATTTATCTAAAAGTCAAAATGGTTGTTTGATGCGAGGGAATTCCCCGTTTTAAGTTGGTTTTATTTGTTTTTATACATTGATAAATGGCATGAGCGTGAAATCCCTCAGAAACGATGACGGCCCTCTCCAATCCCAGCCACCAGTTATCAGTATCTTTTCTGTTGTCCTACTGGTATATTTTCAATAATCCCCTCCAACGCTTCTGTGTCTATATCTACGCCATTGTCCATTGAGAAATTGTATTTTTCCATAAGTACACCAAGTGTACAATCGGGTCTTGGCTGAGAGTTTCGCCAACAAAATAAAATTTTCATCATTTGTGTGTCGGTGCTTAACGGATCATCCATTTCTATAACTTCCACATCCCGACGAGGTACACCTAAATATGTAGCCCACTCAAGCTTGTCCTTAACAGAAACTGGTTTGGACAGTTGTACAAGATATTTATCAGTCAGATATGTATGGCGTTTGTTTTCCGGTACATGGATACGCTGTACTGTACTGCCTGCTAAAAAGTATAACATGCATTTAATATTCATAGAATATACGTTATTGGCATAGAATAAATCAAATTTATCTGAATCTTACTGTATCCAATTCAACAATAAGGTATGATGACCAATTTCCAGTTTTTATGCATATCTCATTAAACTAGGCAAAGCAACGAACACAATAAATAATTGAAAAAATATTCTTGTCATATCCTCATCAATATTTTCACAGTCTTTTTTTATATATGTCTTTTTTCCAGCAAAACCTTTTTAAAAATACAGTTTGTTTTCTATATTTTTAACTAAGAAACGGGGATACTTTTTACCTATTTAAAAATTACTCACCTTTACATGTTGCTTCCTGCGGTGGCAGTCCACTTTCGAGTTTTTCCACAACTTTGGTATACTTATACTCTCTCAGAAGGTCAATTAACACTTGATAATTTGCATTTTCATTTCCAGGTTTAATAAGATATTCAAGGCATTTTCTGTTTTTCTTATGGATTACTGTCTCCTGATTAAGTACGCTAACATCAGGAAGCTTTAATCCTTTCCCTACCAATTTGTTCTGAAAATCGGTAACATCGAAATTTTCAATAATGTCGTCCATATGAGCTCGTATTTTTCCCGCATCCTTATACGCTATTGGCATGATGGTCCTCTGAAAAAAGCGTACGACATTTGCTTTACAATTGATAATTGTGAATCACTTGGACAATAACAGACGATAGACATTACTTTTGATCGAGAGCAAATCGTGACAACTACTTTGCTGTTGTAGTTTCATAAGTCATAAGCAAACTATTTTGTGTTTTTCGTATTTTTTGAAACTAGACATCTAGGTTCAAACTGCAAAATTTGTCGAAAGGTCAATAAATGCACCGTACACTAGGTAATGTTCACAAGGGCCAGCGATGATAGCTCTGTGTAAGGACTGGCTTACCTTCCCTAGTAAAACTTTCTTCCGCTAGGGTGCCCTTTACACCGGAAATTTGATGCACCGGAAATCAAAGGTGTTTTTATCCTGATTGGTTAAAATATATCTCTTAGAACAAATTAATGTATATGTTGCATTAATGTGTTCAACTTTCTTGTTTATTTTATGTTCCTATGAATGCTAGAAAGGTATTGTGAAGGTCATGTAAGTTTCGATCAATCACCTTTTTTATGATGAGTCGGGAGTCCACAGTCTGTTATGCAAATAAGTTAATGCGTAAACCATCCCTTCAGGTTCTGGTGTCTGGTGGTGGTGGTGGGGTGGGGGTGGGTGTGGGGGAGGGTGTACAAAGCTTTATGATTTGTTAACTTTATAAAAACTGAAGACACTGTTATATATTCCATTTGTTACATTTGCACGAGCAAAGTCTCCAAATTACTGTCATGTTTAGAACAGATATAAAACGAGGAAGCTGACTAGGATTTTCGCGGAAACTACTCACTCATAACTTCGCAGTACGCGAAAAAATATAGTCCTTTTTAAATCATTAAATATTTCTAAATACAAAAATAAAATTCCAATGTCAAATTATTTTCATATTTACACAGAAAATCTTACTTATTCATGTCACGAGGGAAATTTGCTGTAAAACGTTCAAAGAGAGTTTAACCTGTGACAAGTTACTACTGGCGTGACCGAAAATACGGCGGCAACCTACAGTTGTCGCTGTTGATTACACGAATCCTCTTGAAATGTCTAACGTGCAAGCTACACATTCAAGACGTTCGGTTGGGGATTGAATTTGATATCTGATAAGGTATCCTGCGTTGCATTGTTTGCTGAATTTCATGGAAATGAACCTTTACCATGGAACTGAAAGTCGTTTCACAAGTAAACAACCCCTTCAGATGTCCGAGATTGTTTTGTTTTGGTACCGGGCTTTACGGTTTGGCAAATTTTCGCTAGTTAAATGTAGTGAATTTCTTATATTTCATTAACAACAATGTAATAAAATATGTTTATATCAACTTGCCTATATTGTAAACTAAATAGTTTTACTCATGCGTTGTACCCAACATCTACACTTTTCAACAATTTTTGCAATGGTCGAAAATTGCCCTTCTAAATCCTAATATTTCCTCCAATATAGCGAGAGGTTATGTAAATTTGATAGGTGTTGAAATAACGAGGGCGAACACCGGTTCCGGTTCCAGTTGTTTATTCGGTTTATCTAATTATAAAGACCCCCAACAATGGGTCAAGGGTCCTAAAGTAACATAGGGCTCATTAATCACATGAATATCATCAGGATCGTAGACGATCAAAATTTAGGGGACAAACGCCTCAAATGTCGAACGGAGGTTTGAAACGTCCGTACTGGTCAACGTCCCCTTTGTCCACTAAAAAAACCGTAGACACACTACGTCACATAGGTAAACTGGACATAAAGACGCAACATATATACATCTTAACGATAACAGGTGACGCGAAAATTCAAACGACGCGACGCTAAACAACGGCGGCCAAAATTAGCTAAAAACCGACCCTATTACAGTTACTTTATGACAAGTTTAATAAGAACAAAACTAAATGTGATCCCACAGTGGCGGTTATTGCCAAAATAAGTGAAAGTACTTCGCTGACAGGAAACTTGGTCCAAGACGTTCGGCTATATCAAGACAAACACCAGGGTTGCAATCTAACATTCAGTCTCACTAAAATGAATACGTAGATATAGGATTTTTTTACTTTGTAAAATACATACGCAAAATGTCAATTTAAGCTGGCACCTAAAATATAAGTATAATGATTGAAGACCGTCACATTGTAATCATAATTGGTGTTTAAAGGGAGGTAACTACAACAATTTACATAGTTTACAACATGCACCAGATCGACCGTTAAAATCAAACCCAATATACTTAGTAACCATAATATTGGATTGTAAATAAACCTTGTGTTTAAGATAGTATAAAGAATTATGCTGTTTGTATAACTCGTCTTTTACACTTCATGCAAATCCGTAAAACTTCATGAAACAAGTTTGAAAACAGATATTCAATAGCCTGTGAGACGAATGCAATTTGTACACCAGGCCCCACTTGTATAAAACATCTCAACTTGAGATTTCCTCAAGTCGAGATTTTCCTCAGCTAATATCTCCTTGAAAATATCTTGTATGAAAATTCCTCAAGGAATTTCAGGACATCCTAGCCGATGACTTCCTCCTGTTCCTTGAGAAAATTTTATACAAGCCGTTTTTGAGGAGATATCAGCTGAGGAAAATCTCGACTTGAGGAAATCTCAAGTTGAGATGTTTTATACAAGTGGGGACTGGTTTCGAACTACTCGTAAACTGAGGTACGATACAAAAGACACACTGAATTTATTTTCTGTAATTTTGTACTTTCACTTTTGTCGAAGTTCTCGATGTCGGATGACCCCGTTTACTCGCCACAGATCTAGAGTTCTATCTATGCAGGTCACTAATCACAAACAGAACATGTAAATTGATTTGTTTTTCACATTAATTCCTGAAACTATATAGACCTACCCTTATTACTGAAAGTTACCAGCAGATTTTCGTTCTTGTACCACAGAAGACAACCGACAGGACCGAACGTAACGTTGAACATTGATTTCCTGGTCTCTTTCCAGTGACATGCGCCGAGGGTCACAATAGTCTTGCACAAGTCCTTTTTTTTTGTCGTTCTTGACCAAAGTAAGCTTCGTCCTGTACAAGAGTGCTTTGCAGAATACTGCTCTTATTTATAAGTGCATCATCGACATTCAGCACGATTTACTACGCACCTGTTTAAAGTCATATGTGGGATTCAGTTGGTATTACAAAATTAACTTGAAGATGAATATCGAAACTCGGTACCTCTGCCCCTTGGGGTTAGCCAGGGTCAATATGTGCATACCATCAAACCATCATGTTAAATTAATAAAGCTCACCAGTACATTACATTATACTCGAAACAGAAATGAATGTCTAGTGTCTGCTGTAACTTCTGTTTGTAGATATATGTCTAGCATCTGTCGAAACTACTGTTCAGAGAACACTTGGTCATTGTCTTAAAATAAGTACATTTTTGTCTTTCTGTCCCGAACCAAAATGAAGCTTATATTTTACGACACTAGTTATGCATTCTATCTGTCCTGCAGCATTTATTGGAAATCAGACAATCAAATATTCATCAGTTTTTTTGTTCAATTTTTGTTTACGTATCGTTGACATTACGCTGAATTTTTCCTGATGACGTAAGCCAAAACATAATTCCAAACTTCAACCGGATATGACAGCGATTTCACGAAATTTCGTAAATAAATTTGTTCATTACATCATGTAAGATCACTTATTTCAACATTTATTTTTAGTATTTAAGTAAATTAAGAAAATATTTCTGTTGAATTACCGCACGTGTTAAAAGACAGCTGTTTTCTGTTGTCTTCCGCAACTCCTATATGTAGATATGTGACTAGCGTCTACTGTAAGAGTTTTTGAAAATATCTGTATGTCAGACGTTGATCTGTTATTTGTTATATCTCTGAAAGGAGATACATGTATAGTTTCTACTGTAACTCCGCACGGAGATACATGCCTGTTATCTGCAGTTCCCCAGATCTGTTATTTGTTATATCTCTGAAAGGAGATACATGTATAGTTTCTACTGTAACTCCGCTCGGAGATACATGCCTGTTATCTGCAGTTCCCCAGATCTGTTATTTGTTATATCTCTGAAAGGAGATACATGTATAGTTTCTACTGTAACTCCGCTCGGAGATACATGCCTGTTATCTGCAGTTCCCCAGATCTGTTATTTGTTATATCTCTGAAAGGAGATACATGTATAGTTTCTACTGTAACTCCGCTCGGAGATACATGCCTGTTATCTGCAGTTCCCCAGATCTGTTATTTGTTATATCTCTGAAAGGAGATACATGTATAGTTTCTACTGTAACTCCGCACGGAGATACATGCCTGTTATCTGCAGTTCCCCAGTGTGGAGAGAGACATGTTGGTCTGGCGTTTGCTCAACTCATATAGATATATGTCTTTAGTGTATAGTGTGTCTGTATGTTCTCCTGTCAAAATGCCTTGGCTGCGGTAAGCAGGCGTTTACATAATGTTTATATACATTGAGAAGGAAACTCGGTTAATCTGTCTCCCACACACTTGTTCACTTGATGGATTGACAGAAGCCTGGCGGTATTAAGGAGTGTGTGGAATTCCGATCCACATCAACTTATTAACGTGTAAACAACTTAATTGATGTCTAAAATGGCTTTCCTGTTAACACCACGTGCTATACTTGTTATAACAGTAAATCTCAAGTGTTTATATAGAGTTTTGAAAAAGATTTTATCCCGTTTTCACCGACTATTTAAATATTACGATATGTTCAAATATACCCACTAATACGGCCTTTCGGCCTTTCAGCGGACGATTGTTTTCGGGTACACATACCTGTGACTTTAATGAAGCTTCATCCGAAATAGAATAGTAATCTTCATTACCAGAGTGTTAATAAGTTTTCATTAGCTATACGTGATATTTCGAACACGTGTGAACCGAGAGAAATTATGAAATCAAAATTTGGAATTTTTGTGTCCGTTATTGAGTATTAAGAATATAGGTCCGCCATCATTGTGGATCTAACTTCAGTTTTCACATGCTTGAAAAGACAGTATGATTACTGTAAATCAATTATATTTCGCGAGAGATTCATTTTGCTCGGATATGCGAGGAGAATCAATCGCGAATATAAATATCATTTTCGATTATTTGTGCGGAAATAACTCTAAATGGCATGCATATTAAAATATCAAAACAAAAATTGTGTACTTACATTGTTTAAATATTATTCTTATGATGGTATACTTAATACTTAACATCGAGTAATAGATGTATACAAGCTTACGTCACTGTAAATACAAATGCAGTATACATCCTTAAGATGAAGTGGACACGGTATGTTGGAATAAACTGAAACGTTTTTCGCGATAAAAGAACATTTTAATTTCAGTTCATAACATTACAACATGGATTTCATATATAATACATACATCTTCAACATTAAAGAGGGTCATTCCTGTAACAATGCTCCAAGTCTCTCCCCCAACCCCCACTACCCTCTCACCCGAAAAACAGTATTTGACAATTGAAAGCGGGTGTTTAAATAACAATTTGTTGATAATTTATGAAATAGAGATTTTAACAAGAGGCTGTCCTAGCAACAGTCTGTGTCTTCTTTTCTTTCAACTTACACTCTCACATTCTCACACAATTTTCTAACAAAAAAAAAACAAAAACAAAAACAAAAAAACGAACAATATGATAATATTCGCTCAACAACAAATACTTTCCCATTTTCTTGTTATATACACACTGTTTACATTTGTACATTACATCAGCAAAATATCCTCGTTATGAATATTTTAAAATAGTAAAAAAGGAATTAAATGTATCAATTTCCACTCTGGACAGTTGCCCTTTTGTAGTGATTACTTTTACCTATTTATATAAAAATACAAAATGTAGTTCCTTTATTTCTTCTCTCACGAGTGCATTTACGAACGGACGAAACATCACAATACATATATAGATATACACGGTTTCAGGCGAACGCATTTTTAAACAGCATTATTTCGAAGCTTCAGCTTCCGCCTAAAATAACCATAAACCATCGCAGGAAGCGAACATTTAAATGATTTAAGGTTGCTTCACGAACGTTTACACTATCTATCACCTATCAGTTCGTGAAGACTTGCTACTTCCATCAACTTTTTATTTAAGATGTTATTACATTTTTGTCAGTATGAAAAGAAATCGATTGCACTGATATTGATATCGAACCTTATTCGGTGTCATTATAGATGCTATCTTTTTCTCTGGACATCGACACTTAAAGGCGGTTCTACCCCATTACATAGAACAAACGAAAACATATCCCAATCACCAAATTTTCGTTACAGTCAACTTCGCACTGATAATATTAAAATACATGTATATTGAAATATGCAACTTCTGATGAGTATCACTTTTCAACCACTCAAACATCAGATTATTTATGCTCAAAAATCGGCAATATCCAAACTTTAACTCATTCAGTCAAATTTGTACCTGGCGGTACAGTTCACCATAACTCGGCTCTAAATGCAGTGACTGGTGCAACCTCTACATTAAGCTCAATCCCAACTCTGAAAGTTTGAAACATTAGGTATGGACTACTATTTTACACGCTCTTTGGTACCGAACTCTTGCTTCACATCTCCCCTAATGAGATTCCTCTTTCGTTTTGGAATCAGAAGTTGTTCCCTAAATACATATTGAATAGCCTATATCGGCCATATTGACCAAAACTAGGCAACCGTCTACGTTGACTGTCAAAAGGTTTTTTTAAGACATTGGATATCTCCTCTTTATCTTCTTGGGTCGACTTGTCAAGAATCTCCAATCCTTCAATAGTTTCAGTTCGACCTTGAACCACGCCATTTGATGAAGGCTGATTATCAAAAGGTTTAATTTGGCCCTGACCTTGTGACCCTATCACCATTCCGTTGGCATTTGGCTCGACGAACGGAGCTCCAACCATTGGTGGTTGTCCTGGAACCTGAGGGCTGCTTGGTGATATCACTCTACCGTTTGGTGTCAAGAAGGTGGTTGGTGGTTGACCAAATGGGGCACGTTGGAACATTCCATTGTTTCCAATTGGTCGAGCAATGCGTGGAACATCAAGGGTCTGTCCATTCTGGGCACCAGAGTTTACTAATACGGGAATAACTTGACCCGTCTGTGTCCTTACTAGTCTCGTCATTGGCTGGTCGGGATTCTGTGCAAGACCATTACGGAATATCGGAAGGGGTTGATCTCCAAGCTGTTGGATGCCATTCACAATACGTGTCTGTCCACCATTTTCTTGTATTCTGTTTATAATCCGTTGTTGATCACCATTTTCAACGACACTGTTTACAAAGCGTGTCTGCTCGATATTCGATTGTTCCCCATTTTGAGGAATAGTGTTCACAACTTCTGGTTCATCGTTTCCTGGGTTTCGCACATACAAGGGGTCTCCGTTGGGAAGAACAGCGGGAATGGGTGAACGGCCATTTCCGTTTGGTAAAAATCCGATAGGTCGTGGAATCGATTGTTGTCTTTGTATTCCGTTTGGTTGCTGTCCGTTTTGTACCGGTAAAAACCCAAGTGGAGATGGGATTTGTCCTTGGCCTTGGTTTCCCGAAAACTGCCCGCCTTCTCTTTGTTGCGTAGGTAAAAACCCGACGGGTCTCGGTCCCTGTCCTTGAATAGAAGCCGGGCCTGTCATTACAGGCATCTGGATTGTGTTCCCGTTGGAACCGATTTGAATTTGACTTCCTGAATTTACAAACTGTCCGTTTGGTCCAATGGTAACTTGCTCTGCTTCACCTTGTTGAGTTGGTAAAAATCCAAGAGGTCTCGGAATCTGACTCTGTCCTTGAATTCCGTTTAGCCGTTGAGTTCCTTCTCCCTGTTGCTGCGTAGGTAAAAACCCGAGGGGTCGCGGTCCTTGTCCTGTAATAGCAGCCGGACCTGATGTTACAGCCATCGGAATAGGGTTCCTGGTGGGACCTATTTGGGCTTGACTTCCAGGATTTACAATTTGTCCATTTGGTCCTATCGATACTTGTTCTCCTTCCGGTCGTTGTTGGGTAGGTAAAAATCCGAGGGGTCGTGGTCCTTGTCCTGGAATAGCAGCCAGACCTGATGTTACAGCCATCGGAATAGGGTTTCTGGTGGGACCTATTTGGGCTTGACTTCCAGAATTTACAATTTGTCCGTTTGGTCCTATCGATACTTGTTCTCCTTCCGGTCGTTGTTGTGTAGGTAAAAAACCGAGAGGTCTCGGAATCTGACCTTGTCCTTGAATTCCGTTTACCTGTTCAGATCCGTCTCCTTGTTGTGCAGGTAAAAACCCAAGAGGTCTCGGTCCCTGACCTTGAATAGCTGCTGGTCCTGTCAAAACAGGCATCTGGACAGGGTTCCTGTTTGGAACGACTTGCATTTGTCCATTACCATCAATTTGTATTTGACTTCCTCTTCCAATTATTTGTCCGTTCGCTCCTATTTGTAGTTGATTTTGACCGTTTACAATTTGCCCATTCGGACCGATTTGGATCTGGTTTCCAGCAGTTATTGGTTGTCCGTTTCGACCAATAAACACTTGTCCTGGAACTTGCCCTCCTATCACGGAACCAGGAAGAATTTGTCGTCTTCCAAACTGGTCTTGACCCTGTCCAGGGATAAATCCTATGGGTCTTGGAGATCCGTTTCCTCCTAATCCCGAAGGAAAACGACCTGGCCCCTGTCCTGGCATTGCAGTTGGTCTCTCGCATGCACATAAGTAACCCCATTTATCGTCAAATGCTGCAATGTAAAAAAGACGACATGGTTATGTAGTTCCGATTTTTCTTGTTTTTTTTTTAATTTTCATTTTACAATTATCAACATACAACGGTATAAACAGAAAAGCATCACTTTCATTGTTATATTTCCGTTTCGATAACGAGGTTTATCCCGATTCTGCACAGCGAAAAAATATTCTAAATGTCGTGGTTTAGTGTTTTTACCCTTCATTATTTTACAGTTTGTTCCTTTATAAGGAATTCTCCTGTACTCGAGGGAATGTATTTTTAATGTATGGAATATCCCTATACCGTTTAACAATGTTGTATACGAAATCACTGTATAGCTTTTTTACACAAACCTTTTTTTTGAACGCGTACGTCATCACAAAATGAATACTGTTACATATTTCAATGTTATTGGACGTACCTGACGTTTCATTGCAAGATGTCAGTTCATCCATTCGACGAGGGATGTTTCCTCGCAGACATCCAAGGAAGTATGGAAACTCATTTGTAGCATGATATCGATATTTTCCGTTGACAAACCGACCGTGGCATTTGTCAAGATCAGAATTCATGACATCTCGTTTAAGGTCAGACGCCATTGGCCCATAAATTGGAAACCCGTCACGTGCTACACCAATCAACTCGTCTTCTTCTCCCTTATAAAGACAGTTTCTAGGGAGGGCGTGGTAGTGGTAGACACCCATAGGGTCGGGATGACCGTTACACTCGTCCAGCTGCTCGGCAGTGTCACCTTCCACGGCGTTCTGACCTTCTATATTGAGAGGATTGAAGATGACAACACCGGTGCGGGAGATTCCGATTGGTCCCATCGGAAGGCATCCAGGTTTTTCGGCTATTGTTGGATTCTTTGGAACGCTGAAGATGTTGTTCCGGGGTATGACTGGCTGTGATGTAAGTGCATCGGGGGCGTGATCCGGCAAACCATTGGACATAATGATAAATCTGAGTGAGAGAGAAACAAAGATTTTTATACACTTCAACAGGGTATATTAAACCACGCATCTATCATTTATACATGACTTATAATATCTTTACATTATTTGTAATATATTTACATTATTTATAATACTTTTACATTATTTACAATACCTTTACATTATTTATAATACCTTTACATTATTTACAATACCTTTACATTATTTTTCAATACCTTTACATTACATTTTACATGTAGTATTTACAACTAGATCATTCCGCTCGCTTAATCGCGATATTTCGCTTTAAGTTATCTCCCTTCCCGTTATATTTACTATCAAGGCAATGATGTGTCCATATCACTTACGAGTTTTCGTTTTCGGAAACGCTGACGAAGCCCCCGTATCGTCTGCTGTTGAAGAATTGTTCCGCCTCATTCAGCTCCAAACATTTCACGCGCAAAAACACAAATAAGGAGAAGAAACAAACCGATAAAGTCTTCATCTTCATCAAACTGAAAATAAATAAATAAATAATGTTTTGTATCTAGTTTCAAAATAATTTTGAATTCGGTTATGAAAGTGTACAATACCAAATTTTTTCAAGAACATTATGTTCTGGTAATGCATGATGACGTTATCTTATGTGGAGGCGGAATGGTATGACTGAAAACCCACTATTTATGTCCAAGTTGCATAGTATCAGTCACGACTTCCTGTCATTTTGTGAATGAATGAGTATTTCTCATAGGTGTGGTAACCTGGTAACCACAACACCATGTTCATACCAACGTAGTAATTCATGGCAATATTATCCAATGAAAAGCTATCTTACTGACAAAATGTTAACGTTACTGACATGTAATGTATGACTGTCGTATGTTTCGGCGCTGACTTTGATCGATAATATATCAAATCATAAATTCAATTTTATAAATAGAACACGAGATTTAAGAAATTTAAGCTAGACGTATTATTTCGAATCTTGAATATGAATTCTATTTTTGTGATTTTTTTTATCTTTTATAATGCAAGAAATAAGTTTGATTACTTTTTAATTTGAGAGCTTATGAAAATATACAATTTTTTTTTTCAAATTTTCAACTAAAATCTTTTCATTCAGTCGTAATGTCGATACATGTCAATAAAGGATGCGTATCAATACATGAAAACAAAGAAGGCGTGTCAATTATTTGACAATGAAGGGGGCGTGTCAACACATGACAATAAAGGAGGCGTGTCGATACATGACAATAAATGAGGCGTGTCGATACATGATAATAAAAGATGTCGAAAGCGCGTGTTTTTCAAGTATTTATTTCCTGCATCAGGAGTCATAAAGTGACTATTTTTGTTTCTGTTAGAAGTAAATGATTCTTAAGATGACATTTATTTTATAAATGATCCTTGGTTTGAATGGGTTTTATTTTATTAATTTGTCAATATTTGTTTGATATATCAAAAGAACTTTGCATCAGTCGTTGACTAATATTGATATGCAGATGGAAAGGTGTGAAAATATTGAGGAAAAAATTATCGTCTGCCAATGACTTTCTGTAAATATCTATTAAAAATCACTGAGATATCGGTTAATGTCTATACGCAGATTATGACTGATCTTCCGAGAGACCATGTCATATGAATTGATGTAAGCATACAATATGAGGACGGTTCTATGTAACATTGGCGACGAATCGTCTATTTCTCGCGGTCATTTTTCACTGGACGTTTGGTAAGCAACGTGTGCGTCAAGCCCCGGGGGTAATACGCGATACTCTAAATACATACTCCTTGTAAGGAAATGGCCAGGAAACTGAAAACAAACCACCCAAAAAATAATCAAAATATGAAAAGAATATTTGTTGATGTCGTAAAAAGTTTAATTCTATTTTCATCAGTTTACCTACACGTTTACTTACGGCGATCCTCGGAACGGTCTATATAAATCTTTAAACACTACAGAACCGGAAGCACAAATGTTTACTCTTCAGATATTCATTATCCCCTACATCATAATTTGACAGAATCGTGTGCCTTTAACCACGTCTGGAGCTCATGACCAAGGGCAATGTATATAATTATTACTAACACCAAAACATCAAACCAGGAATAACACGATTTCAACTTTAGCTTTGTTTTCTAAAAAGAAAAATTATACCCAAATATGGAACTCACAATTACACAATTTTAAATTTATTTCAATTAAAACAAGTAATTGCAGTGAAATATTTGTAAGTCATCGATAATATATATATTTAAACCAATCAGAACTACACTTTCTATACGCTGCATTTCACTGACTTGAATAGGCCAGATACATTTGACGAAAACACCGAGAACGGCATTAACACCCAATGCAAGAATAATGTTTCCTGAACTACCAAGACTCTCTATTGTGACCAATTCCTTGTCAATAATCAATAACACAATCACACATTCAGAAATTATTTCAATAAACGGTAAGACAAATTTTACTTTCAATTGTCCAATTAAACTGACACAAATTTGATAGCCATTGACTGTGAAAATATCGCAATTTGAAGATTTCTTAAATACCTGATTATGTTGGGGAAACTAGAAGATACAAGTGAAGAAATGTTCTCATAAATATCAAGAAGTGCTACAATTTTTTCAAATGGATTTATCCCGGGTATTCCAGTTTCCTCCCACAATAAGACCCATTGCATGCTTACAGCTTGACCAACAAGAGTGACTAGTAAAGTTTAAATAACTTGTTTAGCAATTCGCAATATTAAATAAAAATAATATATTTTTTTCATAAGTGATGGAAGGTAACTTACTATAGAAACCCACAAAGCCAACCAGTGAATTAATATCCTAAAGTAACAAGGTGATTAAAGTAACATTTAAAACAGTACTTTACACATTATCAGGGATAATTACAATCTGTCTGAGGTAAGCCAGAATCAGAAAAAAAGTTCGAAATAATTATGATCTACGAAATTGAATATTTATCACTTACAACTTATTTTTCTACATTCAAAAATGTAGATTAAGATAGAGTTACTGAAATAAGAGGCAGATAAGAATTGATGAAATAGATTCTAGAATTATCATTTTCAATTTTGGTATATAAATGATTCATCTGGTGCAAAATTTCTGCACCGTGACGACTAATTTTACAAATAACGTTGACACAGATTGTGTTTCGGTATTAGCGTATTCAAAATGATAAATATCGGTAGTTGAAGAGTTAAATATCTAAATAATTATGCATTTTACATGACTTCGTTCTATCATGATGTAGTTATATCAAAGTCTCTGTAAAACAGTCACTTACCTTTAGATCTCTTTTGATATCCTTGCGTGTTGATCAAAATTCCAAGTGTCACCTGGACAATTTTCCTGTGATATATATCCGAGGTAGATCTACCCCGCGTGCGTCGAGATTCTGTGAAAGATCAATCAATGTTATCGAAAATTGCCGGTAGGTATTCAAAATGCCAGTCATGACGTTAGTTTCCGGTTTGGTAGCCAATCAGAAAGCGCCATTTTGAACAGGTCTCAATGAGAAATGCTTAATTAAAGAAAATGTATCGCGGACAAGTAGCAGAGATGCCTATAAATAGATGGATTTCGTATTCCCATTGGTCAAGACTGGACATACGTATAGACTGACCTGTATGACGTGTATTCGTAAAATTGTCTGGCAAAACGCTACACCTTATTATGATAAACTATCGGATACATACTTACCAAATTTGGTAAGCATGTACTATACGATCTTAATACAGCTTGGGACTTGCAAATGTAATCGTAATTATGATGAATCACGTGCAATCGATGTCCAAATTTGGGCATCATGTTCTCAAAAGCAATCTTCAATGGTTCAAAATACACAGATGAAATGTCTCTCCAATTTAGAAAATCACGCTCTCGGTCCACATCATCTGTTTTTTATATGAATATGTACTAAGTCAAACCTCTTCTACCTTTTAATAAAATAATAAAAAAAAATGTAAGTTTTCCATTCAGTAATTGCAGGGTTTTCATCCATGTTTTTCACAAAACATTTCATCAAGCTGTCCTCTTCTGAATTTTCTGATCGTGTGGCCTTGTACATTTATCCGTATCTTCTTGTCTTGGTCTATACGTTTACGAAATCATTCACTCGACGCTAGCTATTCTTGTCTCAATTTCCTTGTTTTATTGTCCCATCTCCAAAGCGTTGTGGCTCTGTCAGGGTTGGGACCCTGACTTGTCTCACTTTCTTTGTGCCTGCCGACCACGCCACATCGAATAGATAGATTATCCATATGAAATACTTTATTTTGTTCTAAGTAATCAATCAATTCTGCGCTTCTTGGAGGTATTCAACGTGATTTATTATATTGTCTTGTTATTTTGTGTAATTAGTTGTTCGTTATTTATCACACATTCTCGCATAATTGTACCAAACTACTAAGTATTAGCTGTTTACAGCAATCATCGGTGGCTTGCTATTTTGTTACCTTACCGACGCTTCATAAACCAGTCGTTATTGTTTCAAGATGGAGGGTAAATGTGTTGGAGAAGAGTGTCAAGTATACTTCAAGAAACGTAGTGGCAATAAGAACAGAAGTGCACGCAATGTAAATAGTCCACAATATAAATGGCTACTAGATACGCTGGTGCAACAAGGATTGATGTCAGCAAAGGAACAAGCATTTATTTGCCAGAAGTGCTACATGAAGTATCTTCGGAACAAAAATCAGCCTGAACCTGAATCCGAGCAGAACCAGGAAATAGAGGAAGAAGACGACTCCCCGTCCCAAATCCTACCGTTGCTGACCCTTCATGATCTTTTGAATGGATCATCTTCACACAAAAAATGCTGTCCCTGTCTTGTTACCTTTCCAAAAATGGAACAAAATCACCAGTCTTACCAAAACGTGCAAGACATCACCTGATCTATTCACACAAACTGTGGTGTCCCACCTCATCCCGCGTCTGCTCCATTCACCTTATTGGTAACGACTTAGATCCGTCTACAGAGGTTGTCCTTGATGGTAGAGGTTCCTTGGAATCTCAGTTACCATCAGAATCGTCCGAAATCATTAATGACCTCCCAGAGGTGTCGCACGTCCTTTCACAGAACCAGTCTGCGTTTACAATAAGCTTTTCTTCTCTTGATGACTCGGCATGCATGGCCTGGACAGGTTGGTCCAAAGATCAGTTCCTCGAAATCCACTCGCACTGTTCCCCATATCTTTCATCTGGTATATATACCAAGACTACACACGATGCTCTATTACTGTTCTGGGTAAAACTGAACACCGACATTTCCTGGAGTCAGTGTTCTTCTCTTTTTGGAATTTCCAAGTCAAGTGTGTCCAAAACTTTCCACTCCATAATACAGGCATTAGACACATCGATAGTCCCACAATTTCTAGGTCCGGATCACTTGACAAGAGAACAATTGCTCGGGCACAATACTGTCTTTTCAGAAGCATTTTTTGGAGATGAAGCCACTGCCATATTAGATGGCACCTATATTTATATCCC